GGGGGGGGGGGGGGGGGGGAGGGAGCAGAGCGGAGGGTTTGGTGTGTGTGAGGGGTGTACAGGGCTCAGGGCGGGGGCCTGGGGGGTGTGCGGGGCTGCAGGGCTCAGGGCTGGGTGTGTGTGTGTGTGGGGGGGGGTGCGCTGGGGTCGTGGGATGCTCACAGCAGGGGGCTGGAGGGGATATGCCCTGATTCCACCCCCACCTTCCCCAAGGCCCTGCCCCCGCTTCTTTTCTGCATCCGCCGGGAGCAGCAAGCACACTGACTCTGCTCCTCCCCCACCCCCTCCCTTGCAAGGGTCATCAGCTGATCGGCCGGCAGGGAGGGAGAGAGGGAGGAGGAGGGGCAGGAACCCAGGACACTGTGGGAAGAGGCAGGGGAGCCAGCAGGACCAAGCTTCTGCCCCTTGCCCACTGCCCCCGCAGGAGGGGGCAGAGAAGAGCAGGCCGGGCTGGGCTGTGCAGGATTTTTAATGGCACTCTGCTGCCTGCCGGGACCCCGTCAGGCAGCAGCGTGCCATTAAAAATCGGCTCTCGTGCCATAGGTTGCCGACCCCTGCACTAGGGTATGATCTGAATAAATGCTGAGCACTCACACCTGCAACTTAAGTTAGTCGGAGCTGTGCTTTGAACATATGAAGTGTTACATAATGCTAAGTACAGACACTCCCTGATTTACGCAAGCGTTCTGTTCCATAACGCTTTGCGTGAGTTGGGAATGTATACCTGACAATTACGCGCGCGCACAAAAAATAGCTTACAGAACTTACGGAATTTTTTCCATAAGTGCGGATTTGCATAAGTTGGGTTTGTATAACACGGGGAGCGTCTGTATACTGAAAAAAATCACGTTATTGGCCTCTCAAATTAAGCACCCAAAATCAGTGTATACTTTTGACCTGTATCTCTGCCTTCAGCTCGCCTTTGGTAAAATGGGAATAGTAATATCCCTTCATCACACATGAGTGCTGCAAAGATTAATTAATTAAGGTTCATGAAGCACTCAGACACTGCATGATGAGTTCTATAGAAAAGCCCAGGAGGAAATTAATACTGTCTTTAGAGCTGGGTTTGAATAGTGTGGAGCTAATCAAATGTAAAGCCACACATTCAACAATGAGGATAAAACAAATACTGAATAGCTGCTCATTAAGTGAGCACTGTCCATCTGTGCACTGAATGTGGCAGCGGTTCTGGGGGGAAAAAACAGTAGGTCATCATGTAATTAGAGACTGTACCATAATGCATAGGTGTAAGGGGGCTGAATTAAGGTTGAATGAGCAACTTTAATTCCTGATATTTCTTTATCTTTGAGTGCTTGACTCTGAAACCTGAATGTTCTTTGAACATAGTTGGTAATTTACAGTAGTACTGCAAACTCATTGAATGCTAACTCAGTGCAAGTTATATTACCTTGTCACTAACCTCCACACAAATCTGTTTTATGATCAAGTTACAGCACCATTGATTATGGCCCTTGTCAAGGTAATCATTTATATTGATTAGAGTTAATGGAAAACTTGGAAAAAATGAATACATCAAAATCTGCAGATGGTCCCACTACCAGAGTTTTAAGTTAAAAAATCCTGCTACTCACCAGTGTAATAGTCTTTTGAGGCAAGTAGCTAGCACACAGCTATATCTCAGAAGACAATGCCCATTGGATAACCTTAGTGTTTGAGCTAGCTACAAAAAAGTGAACTAAATATTTAAGACTTGAAAAGCAATATGCTTTCCATTTTTTTAAATTGAAACATCTAGACTTTAGTATAAATCACTAGTCATTCTTTTCATTCTCCTGCCCGTGTACCAGTTAGCTTATTTCCTTTCAAAATAGGCAAAGGATCTGACTTAGTCATCTTAAAACACCGAGGAGTTCTTTAAATTACTCATACCAAAGCTTAACGTCAAATTAAGATACTAACTCATCTGATTTTTTGTTTGCAGTTTGGGGAAGTGCTTTACGAAAAACGTCAGTATGGAAAAGCTAAATGGGCTTGTATTAAAATGCAAGAAGAACAGTATGAACAGAGCATATGTCTGGGATTCATGAAGCTTATGAAATATATTTGTGAGCAGAACTCTTCAGGTAACTACAGATGCTAGTTTTGAATTAGAACATCTTCTGCTATTTATGCTCAAGCACCTCTCATCAATTCTAGTTTGATTTGCACCAACCAGTTCCCTATACACAATCCCTTATAGTACAAACAGCTCCCTGTGACAGCTTCTTTGTATTGGAAATGAAAACAAACCGAACCAACAAAAAAAAAACACAAACGAAAGTGCCTCCTTGCACACTGAGTACACGATTAGCACTAGACAAATAAGTTTTTCCTGAAAGGCTGTCTGGATATTGGTAGTTCAAATATTTCTAAACTGTTAGAATACTTCTGAAAAATTCTAAGAGTCAGTTTGCACAGCTAAAGGCCAGAAAAGACCATTAGATCATCTATTTCTAATCTGATCCCTTATATAATACAGGCCATTAAATTTCACACAAGTACCTCTGTACTGAAGCAAACATGCTTTAGCCAACACAAGCGATCTTCCTTGTATTGAAAGGCATCCAGTCTTGATTTGGAAATTTGTTCCAATTATTATCACCCTCTGTTAAAAATTTGTGCCTAATTTCTAACATAAATTTGTCTGGCTTCAGCTTCCATATATTAATTTTTGTGCCCTTTTCTGCTACACTACAAACCCTGTGTACTAAAGGGCTCTTCTCCCCCAGAAGTACACATACACTAATCAAGTCACCTCCAGTTTTTCAACTTCCTTTCTAAAATATGGACACCAGAAATGGACAAAACATCCCAGTATCAGTCTCATCAATACCCATATACAGAGGTAAAAATCACCTCCCCTCTTTATCTATCCAAGGATTGCATTAGTCCTTTTTGCCACAGTTATCATATTAGGAGTTCACATTGAGTTGCTTGTCCACTATGAGCCCTAAATCTTTTTCAGAGTCACTGCTTTCCAAGATACAGTCCCTCATTCTGTAGATATGGCCTGCACTACTAGATGTGTAACTCTGCATTTTGGTGTGTTAAATCAGAAGGGTGTGTGTGTGTGTGTGTAAAATACACATACAAATCCGTTAGAATAATAAACCTGAAAGACAAGTGTTCAGAGTTAAGACAGTTTGTGTGGTCTTCTCTACTCAGGGAGTTATTCCTGTGTAACTCCATGTCTGGAGGCCCCTATTCTACAATAAGAATGCTCCTATTCCAAATCCAAGTGGATTAAGTTAATTCAGATAAAGGTACTCTTATTCCAGAACAACAGCATCCACTTGTGGAGTTAATCAGGAATAATTAGTCCGCTTTAAATTCACAAACTACATTACTCCGCGATTAACTTTCTTGTGTAGACAAGCCCTGTCTTTGCTAAACCTAACTACATCTAGACAGGGAAGAGCTCTCAGAACACTTCATTTTAATATATTGTATGTGCTGCAATTCCAAGGCATAGTGGAATGTTAATATCAACAGTTGCCTCCAGCCAACAGCACCTAAAGCCACCTATTTCTAAATCTACTGAATTCCATTCTGCTATGAAAAACTTTTCTACTCTACAGTACTTTATCTATGCTTAGCTTAAGAATGTTCAATATTAGTTTTAAAACTTCATACATATTGAGTGCAAAAGTTCTCTTTTGTATTCTCTAGAGTGATGGTCATGTATTTTTCTTCAGGATTGTACTTGGGGATGACTATACCCATTGTGACTCTAGTGCATACTAACGAAACTCACTCAGAGTTAACACGTTCAGTGACAGTCGCATACTACCTGCCTGAACTACTGCAGGACCAGCCACCTCAGCCTTATGATTCTGACATAATTATTGAAGAGTGGCCTCCTACTGTTGTTTATACTAGGTAAGAAACATATTAATCCTATTACAGTAAAGCCTTAAGTAGTACAGGTCTCTTTCTATATATTTAAAATAGGATATGAAATACTAAACGCTAACATTGAAAATCAAAGCTTGTGTTATAATCTTTATTAAATACCGCTTGTTTCAGAGACCAAAGTCAAAGTCAACTCAGAAGGTAACTATTACATTCTGTAGACTGTCGCTGACATTACTGACGTTACAGAAGTATTTAACTTTTTGAAGTAAATTAGTTACGTTGATACTTGTATTGGGCCTTTTTATTAAAAAAATTGAATGATGAGTGCAACAGGGAACATTACACCTGACAATTGTAAATTTTGGGTTAAGAAACATTGTAGCAGTTATCACCGTATATGGTGCATACATTAAGCAGTATCATTGAGAATCACCATAGAACCACTGGGAAGAGAAAAAAAAAATCTTCCAGGTTTAGAGGGGACTCCAGGAAATACAATAAAAGAATAGAATATAATTAACAATTGGTTGTTGCAGGAGCTTCAGAGGGGTCACCAATGAAGACTCTATAATGAGAGAAATAAACTTCTTGGGAGAACTTCTGGAGAGCCCTGAGCTATGTTTGCAGAATATATTCATTGTTGCAGGATACACCAATCCAGCTGCTGCAAATCGACACAATGAAATATGGTTCCTGCAAAGACCGTAGCCTCCCACTTCAGATGCCTAGCATTATCCAAATTCAGTTTGTACACAATGGCACACTTAAATTTGCAAGTGAATCATGTCAGGCTAGTCAAGAGCTTTATAAGTCTTTGTGATAAACTATACAGAATTTTTAATCCTATTTTCCTAAACTACATATTACAGTCAATCAAATTAGCATGACAATCAATCCAATTTAGTTATTGAGCCATCAGGGTTAATATCTGAAATTTTACTGCCAATTTTGAAAAAGTCTTATACACAATTTTTTACTAGATACTTCAGTTTTACAGTTTATCCATAATATTTCTTTGAGATTTATAGTACTTTTCAAATTGATTCATGTAATCTTTGTAAACAAGGTAAATTCAAGTCAAAGGTATAGTTCATAAATTCTAATGTTAAAAAACTAAACTGTTTTTAGATTTTTTAAATATTAACATATTAAATATTTTTCCACTACAGTATCTCTAGGGTGCCCTAAATATTTAGCCTGAGATTTTCAAAAGTGCTCAGTGTTGGCCCAACTCTGCTCAAATGGAAGACCATAATAAAAGTTGGGAGCAGAGTTGGGTCAACACTTTTGAAAAATCCCACCCTTGAGTACAGGTTTTCCCCACTCTTCTCAAAAAGATATTGAACCAAAGTATTTGTCACCTTCGAAATACAGAGTCCAGGATGTGAAGAGTCAGTTGCATTGCTCATTCAAGTTTTGTTAGTAAATAGTTCCGTTTTTCCTTTTTTGAAACTCACTACCACACACCCATAGATGACTGAATATGGTACTCAGGAGACAGAGGATAGGCATCATTCCTGCTCAGCTGTTCAACTTACTGAGTGACATGAACTTTAAAAACTAGAGCTTTGCCTAGATATTCAGAATATAGTAATCAAGGCAGATTAATTGGCATCACAGAAACTTGAAGGGATAAATCTCCTGACTGAAATATTGGTATATAGGGGTACAGCTTGTTCAGTAAGGACAGGAAGGGCAAAAACTGAGGAGGTCCAGAAGGAGATGGGAGGCAGACCCGCTGAAAATCTCTGGGTAAAGATAAAAGGGGGAGAAAATGTGTGTGACATCATGGTAGGAGTCAAATATAGACCACCAGGAAGAGGAAGCAGATGAGGAATCTCTAGAACAGACATCAGAAATATCAAACACAAGACCGGATAGTAACGGGAATAACTACGTAGACATCTGTTGGAAAAGTAATATGGCAAAGCACAAGTTCTTGGAATGTACTGGGAACAACTTGGTGTTTCAGAAAGTGGAACAAGTAACTGTGGGACAGTCATTTTAGATCCGATTCCAACCAACTGGGAGGAATTGGTAGGGAATCTGATGGTCGAAGGCAATTTGGGATAAACTGATCAAGAAATGATAGATTCTAAGGAAAAAAAGGAGGGAGAGCAGCAGAATAAGGACACTGCACTTCAAAGCAGACTTTAACAAACTCAGAACTGGTAGGTAAAGTTCCATGGGAAGAAAAACCTAAGTGATAAAGGAGTTCAGGAAATCTAGCAGTTTCTCAAAGAGACAATATTATAGGCAGAACACCAATCTATCCCCAAGTGAAGGAAAGATAGGAAGAAGAGTGAGGGGCAAATATGGCTCCATCAGGAGCTCTTCAAGGACATGAACATCAAAACAGAATCCTACAAAAAGTGGAAACATGGACAAACTGCTAGGAGCAGTACAAAAAGAACAGCACAAGTATGTAGGGACAGAATCAGAAAGGCTAAAGTACAAAGTCCGTTACACTGAGCCAGGGATATAAAAAGGCAATAAGAAGATGTTCGTTAAATATATTAGAAGCAAGAAAAAGATGAAGGAAAGCATAGGTTCTGTACTTAGCAGGAAAGGAAAGCTAATAACTGATGACATCACCAAGACTGATGTGTTTAATTCCTGTTTTGCTTTAGTATTCATTAAATACTCAACATAATTAATATTGACAAGAGGAAAGGAACACAAGCCAAAACAAGAAAAAAAAACAGGTTAAAGAATATTTATCTAATTAGATGTATTCAAGTTGGGAAGGCTGATGAAATTCATCCTGGGGTACTTAAACTAGCTGATGCAATCTTTGCACAATTTGCAATTATCTTTGAGATCTTCTGGAGGATGGGTGAGGTTCCATAGGACTGGAGAAGGGCCAATGTAGTACCTAACTTTAAAAAGGGAACAAAGAGGACCCGAGGAATTCTAGACCACTCAGCCTAACATTGATACGTGAAAGATGCTGGAACAAAATATCAATCAATCAAGGTTATAAAGAATAGCCAGCATAGATTTGTCATGCCAAATCAACCAAATTTCATTATTTGACAGGGTTATTGGAGGGTTATAGGAGGAAAGATGTGATATCTTGATTTTAGTAAGGCTTTTGACACAGTTCCATATGACATTCTCATAAGCAAACTAAGAAAATGTGGTCTAAATTAAATTACTATAAGGTGAGTGCACAACTGGTTGAAAGACCATACTCAGAGTAATCATCAATAAGGCTGCGAATTTGTCACAGAGATCATGGATTCCATGACCTCGGTGACTTCTGCAGTGGCCAGACACACCAGCTGCTGCTGGGGCAGTCTTGGGCCATCGCCCCCCTCTCCCAGCAGCAGCAGGAGTTTGGGTGGGGGGCAGAAGGGGATGAGGGCTCTGGATGGCGTTTACCTTGGAGGTGCTCCCCGGAAGCGGTGACATCCCCCTCCCTCGACTTCTAGGGGGAAGCGCAGCCAGGGGGCTCTGCGCACTGCCTCCGCCTGCAGGCATCATCCCCGCAGCTCCCATTGGTCGCAGTTCCCAGCCAATGGGAGCTGTGGAGCCGGCGCTCGGAGACGAGGCAGCGCACAGAGCTGCCTGGCCATGCCTCTGCCTAGGAGCTGAGGGAGGGGGATGTTGCCACTTCCAGGGAGGTGTGGAGCCAGGTAAGGAGCTTGCCAGCCCCTCCCCGCTGCACTAGCAGGGGTCCCAGGCGGTCCACACACCCCCCCCAGCCCGCCCCCTCAGGCCACCCCCCATCCCGAGCACCCGCAGTGCCCCTCAGGCTGCCGCTCTGAGCCCCCGTGGTGCCCCTCACCCCATCGAGCATGTGCAGCACCCCCAAGCCGCCCCCACGAGTTAGAGTTATATAGTACAAGTCAGGGACAGGTCACAGGTCATGAATTTTTGTTTACTGCCCATGACCTGTCCATGAATTTTACTAAAAATATCAGTGACTAAAACGTAGCCTTAGTTATCAATGGCTCATTGTCAGATGGTGCAACATATCTAGTGGGGTCCCAAAGGGTACAGTTCTGGGTCTGGTGCTATTTAATATTTTCAGTAATGAGTTGAATGATAAAGTGGAGAGAATGCTTATAAAATTTTCAGATGACACTTGGCTGGGAGAGGCTGCAAACATTTTGGAGGACAGGATTAAAATTCAAAATGACCCTGACAAATTGGAGACCTGGTCTGAATTCAACAAAATGAAATTCAATGAAGACAAGTGCAACATACTTCACTTAGGAAAGAAAAATCAAATGCACAACTACAAAGTGGAAAATAACTGGCTAAGTGGCACTACTGTTGATCTGGGAGTTATAGTGGATCACAAATTGAATACAAGAAAACAATGGGATACGGTTGCAAAAAATGCTAATATTCTGGAATGCATTAACAGGGTGGTCATATTTAAGACATGGGAGGTAACTGTCCCAGTGAACTAGGCACTAGTGAGGCCTCAGCTGGAGTAGTGTGTCCAATTCTGGGTACCATACCTTCAGGAAAGGTCTGGACAAACTGGAAAATCCAGAACAGAGCAACAAAAATGATAAAAGGTTTAGAAAACCTAATCTATGAGGAAAACAAAAACTGGGCATGGTTAGTCTTGAGAAAAGACTACCAAAGGGGATCTGATAACAGTCATCAAATAGGTTAACGGCTATTATAGAGGAAGGTGAATTGTTCTCCATTACCACTGAAGGCAGGACAAATAGTAATGGTATTAATCTGCAGAAAGGGAGATTTAAGTTAGAATATTCGGAAAACTATAATGGTAGTTAAGCTCTGGAACAGGCTTCCAAGGGAGGTTGTAGAATCCCCATCATTGAGGTTTTTAACAACAAGTTGGACAACCACCTGTCAGAGATGGTCTAGGTTTATTTGGGCCTGCCTGACCGCAGGGCATTGGACTTGATGATCTCCAAATGGCCCTTCCAGTTCTACATTGCTATGATAGCTAGCATACAGACTTATTCTGAAACCCAGTAAGAAGTTAATCACATTACAACTGAAAAAGTGTATTTACAGGAAAAGTCCAGTGGTTAACTGTATACAATATTTATTAGATACATTAAAAATTTTCAAAGTAGTTTTTAGATGACATATTTGTTTCAAGTATCAGAGGGGTAGCCGTGTTAGTCTGGATCTGTAAAAAGCAACAGAGTCCTGTGGCACTTTTAAGACTAACAGACGTATTGGAGCATAAGCTTTCGTGGGTGAATACCCATGCGTCTGATGAAGTGGATATTCACCCACGAAAGCTTATGCTCCAAAACATCTGTTAGTCTTAAAGGTGCCACAGGACTCTGTTGATAATTGTTTCAGTACCTCCAATCACAGTGAACACAGTTTACGTCTCAGTGGGACATATCTGAATGATACAGAATTATACTTTCCAGGAAGAGCTTAATTTGACAGACTAGGGTTGAAACAATATACTTTGAAACTTTGCTTTTCAATATCTTCTAACTGTTTTTCCAAAATATGTTTTATTCTATTAAAACATTGATTGATTTCACAAATGTAGAAGCTAACCCCTCCTCTCACCCAAATATTTAAAGAATACCATGAAAATTACAAGTGTACTGGTTTTCCTGAATTTGTCCTCACAAAAATTGCCCTGACTCAATGAAATGTTAATGGCAGATCTGCTCAAGCATATGATCAAATTGCCCTCTTGTGGCGGCTGCCTACAAGAGATACCTAGGGAACACAGGGAGAGAAAGGAGAAAAAGAAAGATGTGGGAGCAGAGGTGAGGAAAGAGGATGAATAGTAAAGAAAAGGGAATGGGGAAGCTACCTGTCTCAAGTCCTATAACTCTCTGAATTTTTCCTGGGTACTGCTAGTGGCTTTTAGAGAGATTCAGTCTTACTTTGCATCCAGTTGTAAAACTAGCAGTTTCCCCATTTAGTGATTTACAGTTATTTACTGATTAAAATATTTCACACCAGCTTTGCTTTGAATAGCTATATATTATAAGCTTTTCCCGAGTGTCTCAAAGATATCTTAAGTTATATTAAGGGTAAATATATAGCTTATACAGACCTATGAGTTTCAATACAGGATCCAGAGATTCAGTTAGATTTGTTAGTCTCTAAGGTGCCACAAGTACTCCTGTTCTTTTTAGTTAGATTTCAGTTTCTGTCCAACCAATTCACATACATGGGAAATACAGGAAAGGGGAGAAATAGGTGGTTTCACAATAGTTTACCAAGATTTTCTGACAGACACTGAAAACTTTTGCATTTTGATTACTCAATAGTAATATTATCAAAACATGTTTTTGGCAATTCAAACTTCAAAAAATCTATGGGAAACAATGCCTATAGTCTGAAAGCATCAGTTTGTATTTAATCTACAGAGCAAATAAAACCTCAAACAAGTCTCAGTTATGCAGTTTTCAGTTCAGTTACAGAACTATTTAACTACTTTTGTGGGTGTCAAGCAAGGTCACATAGAAACATTCTTGTTAACGTATAAGCTACAGAAAAATCTTCACACAGTATCTGAATGTGTGTTCTTCAGCACCCTGAAAACTGCAGTAAAATGTACAGTGTCATTGTATGTAAAACTATGGATTAATGTAGAACGTTAGTATTTATTATGAGTTGTGTTCGATTGCTTAAGCTGCTAGAAGCACCGATTAAATTTCAAGTTTGGATACAGTTTTCCATAGCCATACAGTGTATTATTTCTATAGACGGCCAATACACTAGTTGGTGCTAGGAGACATGGTTTCCTCATTTATAAACAAAACTATAAAAAAAAGCATTTTATAGGAACATTGATTAAGCTTATTGAAATCTTGCTATTCTTACATACTAACATTTGAGGAGGCTGGGGAATAAATTTTTAACAAGTCATAACATTCACATTTGTCATGCTGTGGTACCCCATTATCTGTGGCTTCCCATTATCCGGTTAGACATTTTATTATGCTCCTATTGCTATACAGTAGAATCTCAGAGTTACGAACACCTTGGGAATGGAGGTTGTTTGTTACTCTGAAATGTTCATAACTCTGAACCAAACATTACTGTTGTTCTATCAAAAGTTTACAACTGAACATTGACTTAATACAGCTTTGAAACTTTACTATGAAGAAGAAAAATGCTGCTTTCCCTTTTTTTTTTTTTTTTTTAAGTTAGTTTGTTTAACACAGAACTGTACTGTAGTTGCTTTCCCCCACATCTCTGCTGCTGCCTGATTGTGTACTTCCAGTTCCAAATGAGGTGTGTAGTTGACTGGTCAGTTCGTAACTCGGGTGTTCGTAACTCTGCAGTTCTACTGTACTTCCTCAAACCATTACTAAAGTAATTCATAATTTTAATGTGCAATGTTTAAATAGTTTGGACACAATAGATTGTTAAAAGCAGCTAACAAAACTGCATCCCTCGGATCACATACTGGCAGTTTAAATATTTCCGCCTTAATACTGAAACATTGTTGCCCTGCCTACTTTGTACTTTTCAAACCAGTGTTAGTGCCTAAAAGTTTAATCCAGTTAGTGTGAAACTCAGGGCCTTGCTTATTTACTTTTACAAAAATAATTGTT